ATGAACTCTATGCCCAAGAGGGTTAAGGCAGTGCTGGAAAATAATGGCGGCCCCACAAAATATTGACACTTTGTGCTCAATTTGGACATTGTTACTTAGGGATGCACTCACTTTTGTTGCAAGCGGTTTAGATATTAACGGTTGTACAGTGGTGCACTGCTTGATGATGATAATCCGTTCCAGCGAAATTGCTGTAGAGTGAAATCGTCATTAAGCGGGGGGGAAAAACCCATTGAAACACATTGAAAACTGGTTCAATGTGTTCCACTGGGCGAAATACCTCATCATCCAGCAAAGATCCTCCATAGGGCAGCCATTTTCCAATCCCTGTTAAGCGAAAAATCCATCCTAAAAACAGTGGGGAGCCATTTTGCACAGCAGGTAGCCATTTTGAAACCCGATGATCAGTTGTTTTTAGATTGTCGTAATGCGAAGAATCGGTTCCCGAAGCAGGGAACCAATAATCGTCAAATGAAAATCATCCTTTGAAACATCGTTTTGCGATCGCAATAGCGATCACAAAAAAATCGTCATGAAGTGATTTCATCATTTAACGAGGTAAGTATAAAGTGGGGCACCACTGTATGCTGCATTATTTTGAGGGGACAGAACATTTACACTGTTATACAAACTGTAGACTCACTGCTTTACATTGTAGCCAAGTGTCATTTCTTCAGTGTTGTAACATGAAAAGATATACTAAAATATTTATGAAATGTGAGGGGGTGTACTCAGTTCTGTGATATACTATATGTCCATTGTACTAAGGGGACAACTTCAGGAAACAATAACATTCAACTGCTATTCATAGGTTTTCCTCCTTAACTTTATACAAGAATGGAAGTACAAGAGATCACCAAATGGGTGGTACATGTGTTAATGTTCTATAATCCCCTGCCCCTCATGACTTGAATAGTATGTGGTAGTTTTGCTGGAATCAACAATAGCATTCAAAACTGACTGTGTGCTACCGGTAGTCTTGGCAAAACGTATATTAGCTGCAACCTAGAAAAAAGGCACGACAAATTACTGAAAATGAAGGTTTGCACTAGGAAATCTGTGATGCGAAAGGGCTTCTTTTAAAAAAGGAATTAAAAAGCTGGTTATATGTTAGCCCTGGTGGTCTGCTTTTCTAACTTCCTAGGCAGTGGTTCCCAACCTTGGGTAACACAGGTATTACTGAACTGCAATTTCCAAAAACCCAGGCTAGCCCAGCATAATAAACTTTTTATTTCTTTTTCTAACCCTCCAACCTAAAGCCATCTATTACACCACCGCACATCTCCAGTGCAGGTTGTGTGGACTACATACAAGAGGTCATTAAGTTTGTGGTTCTCCAGTTCCTAGATTGTAATTAACATGTATCACCTGACAGCAGTTAGCTGTGGTGCTGTACATTAATGAAACATTGAAAAACAATCAGTTAATTCTGTCTGTCTGTCTGTCTGTCTGTCTGTCTGTCTGTCTGTCTGTCTGTCTGTCATAATATCTTTCCATATGGAACCCAAAATAATTAAAACCTTCAATAATAACAAGTTACAATATTATACAACTGTATATTAAAAAAAATGCTGATAAAGATTAAAAACATTTTTAAAAATATTTTAAAAAGATTTAAAAATACCTTAATTTCAAAAATAGAGCTCCCCCCCATTAATTGCTTAAAAGCCTGCTTAAAAAGGAAGGTCTCTTTCCATATGGAACCCAAAATAATTAAAACCTTCAATAATAACAAGTTACAATATTATACAACTGTATATTAAAAAAAATGCTGATAAAGATTAAAAACATTTTTAAAAATATTTTAAAAAGATTTAAAAATACCTTAATTTCAAAAATAGAGCTCCCCCCCATTAATTGCTTAAAAGCCTGCTTAAAAAGGAAGGTCTTTGCCTGATGATGGAAGAACAAGAGGCAAGGGGCCAATTTGGCTTCTCGGGGCAGTGCTTTCCAAATCCTGGGAGCAGCCACCGAGAAGGCCCTCTCACATATCCTCGGCAAACAAGTTTGGGAAGATGGTGGAACTGAAAGAAGGGCCTCCCCAAAAGATCTTAAAATCGGAGTAGACTTATATGAATGATTTTTGTTGTTGTTGTTTAGTTGTGTCCGACTCTTCGTGACCCCGTGGACCAGAGCACGCCAGGCCCTCCTGTCTTCCACTGCCTCCCGGAGTTGGGTCAAATTCATGTTGGTAGCTTCGATGTCCAACCATCTCGTCCTCTGTCATCCCCTTCTCCTCTTGCCTTCCCACTTTCCCAACATCAGGGTCTTTTCCAAAGATGGCCAAAGTATTAAAGCCTTAGCTTCAGGATCTCTCCTTCCAGTGAGCGCTCAGGGTTGGTTTCCTTCAGAATGGATAGGTTTGATCTAGAATCCTTCAACTATTGAATGGATGATCACACAAAGAAACACAGTTGTAGATGATCAACCTGTCGTTTTTGGTTGAAACATAAGTGGTGCTACAGTCAGTAGAGATGGCTCAGGCATTTTCAGTGAGGCACCCTCACATGCCTTTGGATCACTGTACTCCCAGTCCCAGAAATGGGCCATGTAAATGGGGATTCTGGAAGTTCTTGGTATACAGGAATGAAATGCATAAATTTACACCACATCTCTCATACTGTTCCAAATCTTGTTGTTTTGTGTAGTAAAATTGCACTAGAACAGGCACATGGAATCAATGGAGATTTTGAGAGTCATTTCCTGTTTAGCACAGTAACTCACAAGTTAAAGTAGGCCCATTTGAATAAATGGAGACTAGAAATGACAAAATTCCCATTGATTTAATTGGCCAACTCTAGTACAATTTACTGAACTAAGCAATAGGATTTTGCGCTGTGTGTGGGATTAGACTAACTACTACAAACACCCAGATCTACACTTGAAAATAGAAATGTGAACAATGTCTGTGAATAGAGTTCTTTCTTTTTATTGCTAAACCTATAATAGTCAAGTGTATTTAAAAATGAAAACAACCCAGCATGGGGGGGCAGGGGATTGTTGCCAATATATTATTATGTTGCTGTTCATCTTGCTATTATTTCCTTTTTTGTTTCAGGTGAGGTAAAGCCTTCCATGAAAGTAAAAGGTTGGTTTTTCTCATCTTTATGAAGGTCATATGCTTTGTTAGATTAAGTGGGTATTAGGCAGAAACAATGCAGCTTTTTGCTGCCAATAGTACAGCTAATTATATCTCTCTCTGGTAATTGTGCCTTCTCTCTGTAGATAGAAATCATTTGAAAGCCATGAATAAGGGTTTGTTCCTAAGCAGTACATTGGATGTCACGTTGTACTGCTGGATGATTTATTTTAGTGCAAAACACACTTGATGTTTAAAGCAGACAATGAGAGCACGAGACAGAAAAGGATGCCCGAATCACAGTTTATTTTCATAGGACTAAATCCAATTATTAGTACCAGTTAGAGTAGAATAAATTGGTCTTACATAAGTGTTAATTTAACAAGTCTCCTGCATTCATTGGGTCTACTTATTGACCCTACCCTAACAACTAGAGTTTTGGCTGCCATGTTATCTTGGAATAATAATAACTGCCTTTTTTTTGCTAGCACAGTTCTGTCTTTAACAGCTGCCTGATATTTGGACATTAAGCAACTGCAGTTCCCCATCTCTATTTCCCTGTATTGTGGAGAAGCTTTTTCTTGACCACTGCTTCTCTTTGAGCTGTTAAAAGCACACAAGCTATACTGACAAAATTAGAAGTTACAAAACAAACAAACCTGATTTTACCACAAAGTGTCCAGCCGCTGGACGGGCGTTCGCACCCCGGAATGGCATGGCTGTGCTTTGCCCCAACATCCCTGGACGGCGCAAGACTGTTGGGAGCCACGTCAGCATGTTGGGAGGGAGAGCGCGCTTATTTAAGAAAGCGCTCCCCTTCGTTCGCCCTCTTTCCTGTTCGGGCACCCACCCGTCCTCCCTAATTCTAGTGTGACTTAGGTGGTCGCCTTTTTAGGGGACGGATAGGAATTTTTGACCTTCAGCCTAATTGGCTTTTGGCTGGGGGGGGGGTTTTCACCTATCCCTCACTGGAGAAAGGGTTGTTGGTATTTTGGTGGTTTATTTGGTCACACGGGCGGGTAGTGCGGAAAAACAGGTGGTCTCGGTGTGTCCCATTTGTAATTAAGTTAGTCAACAGCGCATCTAACCTCTTGGCTCTGCGGATCGTCGATTACAAGGCCGGTGCGGGGAAGATGCGCTGGGCCACTTCTGGACCAACAGTCATCAATTAAAGATGTCTGGAGGTCTGGAGGTGTTTGTTAGTGGCCTGCTGGGTTCTTGCTGTCGGTAAGACAGTGGGGACCTGGAGCCGGGGACTCGCCCAATTGCATTTCAGGGGGGTATTTCGATATCCCCGGCTTTTCCTATTTCCGCACTACAGCAGGCCCCCCTTTCTTTTTACAATAGTTGAATAATTGGTTGAACTGATGGAATTAATTAAATAAAGTGTGGCCCATTGTCGTGACTGCCACCTCCTCCTACGTCAATTTAAATCCATATTGTCTCGTGTCCTTATTCCGGGGCTGGGGGCGGCGGCAAATGTGCCTTGCCACCTTTAACAACTTACTGTATTTGGTTTACTCTTGAACAGATATAATAATAAAATCAGGGCAAAGGTTAGAAATAATTTGTTAAAATTAAATGGTTACCTGAATTAGTTGCTTTTTTTCACAAAAATATTATATTACTTGTTGCAATGTGACCCCCCCCCCCCGTAGATAAAGTAGTTACTTTACTATTCCCCAATTCTAGGTGAGGTTGCAAAGTTAAACAGTTCAAATTGTTTATCTATTTAACCTATGAATGACTGGATGAATTGCATTTCTTAGCATTTTAAGATGAACAAACTTTAGCTATTTACGGTCAGCACCTTGACCCTAGCAGTAATGTTTCTGAGATCTACGTCGGAATGAATACAGAAATGCAAAGGCAGCTGGGCTCCACACACACACACCCAGTCGTTTGTTCTTCTACTTTGTCCTGCAGAAGGGAGACAGGTAGCAGTTAGTATGTTTTACTGCAGTGCTGCACTTGTATTTGACTTTGCCAACCACCAAGTGAAGGGAAGGAGGCAGCTACCTCTTCCATAGGATTCCCTTCCTTTTACTTTGGTTCTGTGTCCAATTAAAAAGAGAGTAATTTATTAGAGTTAAGATAACTCAAGTCCTCCCATGATAGAAGTTCCAGAGATAATAAGGGCTATGATGGTTGAAATTTCTGTTTTGTGACTTACACTGCATCAGGCTGATGGCACTGTCAGGGTTTTTTTTTTTGTTTTTGTTTTTCCTAAATAAAAATTTCCATTTTCCCTTTCAAGTTTCTTTTTGTTGTGAGGAAGCTGTTGTGGGGGGAAAATCTTTAATTTCCAAAGACTCCCACCACTGATAAAATTATCCTAATAGTGGCAAGATAAAGACACCACCCACCCATCTAGAAGACCCCAACAGCTTTCCCACAAGAAAAGGGATTCCATGGCAGCCTTGGGAGTTTTGGGGGGAATTGGAATTTTTTTATCTCCCCCCCAAAAAATCACAGTAGCTGATTAGTTGGTGTTAACTTATGGCAACAGGATTTAAGCCATTGAATCCTCCTTTCCCTTGAATTAGAATGCAGAAATGTAATAGATAAAATATGCTCACTTCCACTCTTTGGCTGATTTCCAAGAAATTCTTCTCTATCCTTCTACCCCCAAGCATCACTTCCTTTTTTACAGTTTAAATCTTCTGTCATTAAAACTGTGCTGAATGGTAAAAGAAAAAGCACTGACCTTATCAACAGGCCCGCTAATTTCAGCTAAATTTAATAGGGAGCTATTGTGTAAGGCATAGCACAGAGGACATTTTCTTAGAATACAGTACATCTAAAATGTAAACTAACTGTTTTTTGTTTCTTTGTTTCTGTTTGGGGTTTAGAAGAAGTCCAACCACCGGTCAAAAAGAAAGGTAAGCCAGTTGCAAATTTTAATGTTCAACTTATCTCACAGTAATCCAGATGTCTGCATGCGAGAAGGCTTGAATTTCAAACACAGATTTAGATGTCTCACTAGTTATAAAAGCCGGGTAGGTGGGGCTCATCAGCCATGGAAGGCAACCCATCTAGGAGAAGGAAAACTCCGACTTCACACCTCCTAGCACAGAGGACATTTTCTTAGAATACAGTACATCTAAAATGTAAACTAACTGTTTTTTGTTTGTCTGTTTGTTTCTGTTTGGGGTTTAGAAGAAGTCCAACCACCGGTCAAAAAGAAAGGTAAGCCAGTTGCAAATTTTAATGTTCAACTTATCTCACAGTAATCCAGATGTCTGCATGCGAGAAGGCTTGAATTTCAAACACAGATTTAGATGTCTCACTAGTTATAAAATTATGTTTAAGAGAGAAAGGAAACTGGAACAAGGGTAGAGGTGAATAAAGTTACACAGTGACCATTTAGGCTTGAATAGTATGGGTATCATATTTTTAAAAAGCAACGTTTTCCATTTGTGTTAGTAAATTATTAGTAATAGTAAAGGCTAGTAAAGTGGATGAGGACGAGATGGTTGGACAGTGTCATCGAAGCTACCAACATGAATTTGACCCAACTCCGGGAGGCAGTGGAAGACAGGAGGGCCTGGCGTGCTCTGGTCCATGGGGTCACGAAGAGTCGGACATGACTAAATGACTAAACAGCAACAACAAAATTAAGTTATAGCAATATATTGGTCCTAGGCTTTATCTAAGCTTCAGTTATGCTTGCTACAATTTTAAAAAAGTATCTAGTAGTAGTGTCTAGGCATGGCCACTTTGTATTTGTATCTGAGAGGATACAAATACAAAGTGTGGCACCACAGATGCCATGGAAGTCCGTTCCCTCCCCCCCAAAATTGGCTGGTCCACTCACTGGTTACTGTGTGGCGCATGTGTCCATTGTCATCATCAACATTGCACCAATCACAGAAGTACCCTGGTCAGCACTTCCCCACCTCTCTGTGCGCTCCAGCAAGGAGGTGGAATGAAGAATCTCTATGCTCAGCTGTTGAATGGTTGGTTGTGTGGGGAGGCAGAAAAGTGCTAGTTGTGCTACTTCAGCGATTGGTGCAATGTTGACAATGATGGATGCATGTGCTGCGTGGCAACCCACAAGTGGACTGTCTGGTTCTAGGGGGAAGGAACAGACCTCTGTGGCACCTGTGGTGCCAGGGGGGAGGGAACAGACCCCTGTGGTACCTGTGGTGCCACCCTTTGTATTTGTATGCCCAAGGATACGAATACAAAGTACCCCTGTCTAGCACTGTCTTTTAAATGTTGTTCTATTGTCTATTGCAACACTGTTCTGCCAAACTAGTGGGTCTTATTTGAATCAATCTTGCAGAGGATTTGGTTTTATAAATATAAAGATTCTGTGATAGGGTTGTCCCAGTGTAAAGATTAATGACAAAGAGTCTTTTCAAAATCCGAGTGCTGTGGGTTTATGCAATCCAGTATCCATCCACTGGAATGCATTTCTTCATTGTCATTGTGCACAGAAATGGTTGAGATATGAAAAAGGGCCTGAAGAATTGTATTCAACCCCATGTTGTATTTTAACCCTTTCCTTCTAAGTATGAGTACAATCCTGACTAATGAGGATGGCAGTAGGCCAGCTCAGCTGAAGCTGTAGTGAATCCAATTCTCTTCAGCTTATGGATACTGGAAATTATTTAGGACTGTTCTTATCTTGCTCCAACTTTTGTTCTGGCATAATGGCTATACCCTGAAGTCAAGGAGTTTTGGTTTTGAATTGAATCCTTCCTTCTTCTGCTAGTTCTCCGTCCTCTTTTTGGCTCTTCTGGCAGCAGAGCTCAGTGCACAGAGCAGTTCTGCTGGCAGATCTCTGCAGTCATGTTTCTGCTGGAACAAGGCCACCCTACACTTTCTCCAGACATACAGAAGGTTCTGTTTCCGAAGATGGATAATTGTCACATATAGTCAGATGCAATTGACACACACAGTTCTATCTGGATTTGGGTTTTTTTTAGAACTAGATCAATGTCATCAAAGTTTGTAATGTCAGAATACTATTCTGGATCAGCCATAAGTGAGTTATGGGACTGGGAGCCATCAGAGTGGCAAGAGGGATAGCAACCCCTTTACCTCCATGCTATTCCCACACGGTTTCTTTAAACTATTCACAAAGTGCCTCACTGCACCATGGAGGTTGTGAAGATTCCCTGCAGCTCACAAAGGTGCATCAGGGGACAAATTCTATTAGAGAAGAATGGATGGAGGCAGCCTTCAATGGAACTTGTCATGTCCTCCTCCCATGCACCTTGGCATTGGGCTGGGAGTCTGTTAATTCCAAAAGTCCCATCCCTAGTGTCATTTAGTAGTATGTATTGACTTTTTCAATATAGGTTTTTTTGAGGTTCAGAAGCAGCAAGGGCTGAGATAGAAAAGGGAATAAGGACAACTGGGAATCACATGCGTTGACTGACCCCTCATTCTCCTCTCTGGTCTTGGAAACTCATATTCTCCTTTCATTACAATAATCTTTAAATAATACTGAGTGTGGCAGAAGCCAGATTTCATTTTGGTAATATGTTTTTTTTGGAAATGGTAAAACCTGCCAATTTTTTTTTTAAAAAAAACTCTTGCAAGTTGCAGCAGAACCATTTAAAATATGAGCACTAGAATAACTCAAGTCTCTTGAAAACATAGTGGCTTTATAGAGTGTGCCAGCATGGCTGAAGTTGGCACCATTTGGGTAATTAGTTATTCCATTCACTTCTGTCTAAAGAATATCCCCATTTGCATATTTAGTGCTTCCAGAGTTTAGCTGATTTTCTCTTTATATCTCCATATGGCAGTGTGCTTCCCCTCCCCCCACTTTAAATGTGAATTGCTTTTACCATGTTTTGTAACGGGAGCTTGCTGTCTCTTAACTGCTTCTCACTGGAAGGCATTTTGTGAATCCTTTCAGAAAGCACTTTATATTGAACCGTGCACCATTTTCCTTTAAAATATTCTAGCGCTATGTAACTGTCCCCTGGTACAAAGCTACATGTTGGTTATGTGTTTGCATACTATTTTATCTTGTTCTGCATCATCAGCAGCACCTATGCCTCCTTAGATGAGATATGTCCATTCTCTGCAGAAAGTGTAATGAAGGTTGTACCCCTGTGGTGGTCTTTTTTTTCCATGCAAGGCACACAATACCCTTAACCTTCTGGAGGTTGCTCATTCATAGGGCAGTCATAGGTTGGAGGCAACCTGATGGCACATAACAAGAACAACAGCTGGTTGCCTCCTCCTCATATTCCATTTGGTTACACAGAAGATCCAGCATCTTCCAGTAATGGTTTTGGGGTGCAGGAAGGCAGTTCCTCTCTTCAAAAGAAGAGGAGAGGACCTGCTGAATGAGATATAATGAGGAAGCCACCAATTGTTGTTATGTGAAATTAATATAAAGCAGGTAGGAAGGAACTGGAAAAAAACCCCACAATTCTGTATCGATCCCATTACAGTTTATTGTCAAAATATTTGGCATTCAACAGTGCATCAACTGAATATTCACTCAGTACCTATGAAACAGGAGTAACTACTCCAGAAACATAAAATTAGATCCAGACAGAAAGCTAACACATTGCTTCAGAAAATCCATTCATGGACGATGTCAGAGAAAGAGCTCTAAATTTGGATAACTAATGTTTTTTGTGTGGATAGGCCACTAATTGTCATGGAAGATTCTCTGTGTTTCCTGTTTCCATCATGGAGAACAAGAACTTTTCTGACCTCCTCAGAAGGAGAAAGCAAAAACTATATGTAGCAATTTCCTTATCAAGAAATGGTTACTTAGAAAATACAAGAGGGGGGAAATGCTTGGGCCCACCTAGGCAGGTACATGTCCCCATCAGCCCTACTGGTTCAGGGTATTGTAGCAATGAAAGTGCATTGGTACTTTTTGGCTTCAACCATTTATAATGTGGCTTTTGTGAGAACAAAAATGTAACCTAGTCCAATGTACATCACAAAGCAAAACCCCATCCATCTCCTCCTTGTTCTGATCTACTAGTCTCAAGAAGCAAGACCACTATAGGTTATAAATAGTAGTAAATAAGCTGTACATGGCTTGCAAGGATACATATCAATGTGTCTTATGAGGAAAGACAAAATACAAACAAAAGTATCTCTAGTGTTGCTGGTTTGGAAGAAAATACCTTTCCTATGTGGCACCAAAGCAAAAGGTGAGACTGGGAGTGCAAGCAAGTTCATTCATCAAATCCACTGAAGGATGATTCTACAGGGCTCATCTCCTTGCCATTATTCAACATTCTGCCTTGGCAATGCCTTGTGCCCCAGAGCAAGCAGAATTAAAGCAGCCTAATTATTACATGCAAAATAAATATACGTGGGTTTCCATTTTCAAACTTTTTTCAGAGAACATTTCCAAACCTTTTTATTTTATTTCAGCATATCATAAGGAAAGACCAGGTACAACACAATGGAAATAGTCTTTCTAGGAATTATTATCACTCCACAAGAGTGCCATGATGTTATTCTGCTGGCAGAGCAAATCAACATTGTACAAGCCAATTTCAAAAAAGGGGGCAGCCCAAACAAACAAACAAAAAAAATATAAGTTTGAAACTGGAGTTCAGATCAGTATCAAATTTGGCACAGATATTGCAGACAGTCTGCTCTTGCTTTGTGCCAAATTTGAAGGAGTTTGGGCAAAGGATTTTGAATTCACACTTGTCAAAACCCAGCACTGACAATTGTTTTGTGTTTGGGTAAGAAGTTGACTGCTGTTCTAAGATTATCTAAGATCAATGATCAGTGATAAGGTCATCTAATGCTAAACTTTGGATGGTATTCTGGTGACATATTAAGCTAGGCATGATGGAATCTTTCTCCCTAGTTACCCCAAAGTATTTTTAATTAAAAAAGCCAAACCACAAATTTTATCATTAGGCAGTTTATCACTGCG